TGCAGCCCCAGTGGAGGTGTTCGCATAGCACCGCCGCGCCCATTTCGGCACGCCTCTCGTGCGCCTCGTAACCCGCAGTGCGCCCTTCCCACGGCCCCAATCATGGAGGTGTTCGCGCGGGGCCGCCGCGCCCGTTTCGGCGCACCCTTCGCGCGGTTCGTGCCCCATTCGGAGTTTCGTTTGTGGCCCCAGTGGACGTGCTCGCGCGGCGCCGCCGCGCGCATGTCGGCAACCCCCATCGTGCGTTTCGTGCCCAATGGCGAGCTCCACTTATAGCCCCAGCGTGACTTTGTGGTGCCGCGGCGCCCATATCGGCACGCCTCTCGCGTAGCTTGCGCCTCGCAGGGAGCTCGACCCACGGCCCAGTGGAGGCGGTCGCATGGCGCCGCCGCGCCCGCGTCGGCACGCCCCTCGCGCGTGCCCCGCGGCAAACAGTTGAGGGTGGTTAGGGGATGGGGAGAAGGGGAGAGGGCCGTGGGGTAGAGGAGCGGGGAATAGACGCGCATGTGCGCGCGTCAGCTGTTGCGCGGGGGCCGCGTGGACGAGAGAGGAGGATGCGGGCGTGGATGGAGGATGCAGGAGGGGAGGCGAAAGAAGGCATGAGGGAAGAGGATTGAACAGGCAGGATAGAAGGGAGGTGATGAGGAGTAGTAGTCATCCTAATGGCCATGATGATGATGATGAGGATGCGAGGGGGGCGACGAGGGGAACCTTATTGCGGGGAGGGGCGCCCGCATGGCGCCCCCGCGCGAAATCAGACGCGCGCGCGTGGACGTGCGCGTCGTGCGTCTCGTGCCGCATAGGGAGTTCCACCGACGGCTTGGTCTGGGGGGAGGCTCTTGGGATCGTGGAGTCTGAGGCTTCTGGGTTGCCTGTTGTGGCCTTTTGGGGGTCGGGGCTTCGAGGTGCATTTTCGGGTTCTGGGGTCTGGGGCTTCTAGCGGGTGGGGGGCCTTTTGTGGCCTCGTGGGTGATGCCCACCAGGGTATGTTGGGCCTCTCGGGGTGCATCGTGGGATCGTAAGCGGTCCCCTGGGGGCCGTCTTGGGGGCCTCGGGGCCATCTTGGGCTGTCTCGGGGGGGCCCAGGCCATTTCGAGTGCAGTGTTGGGGGCCCCAGGGCCACGTTCGGGGTCGTCTCGGGGACCGCATGGCCATCTTGTGCCCCCGACGGGGGCTCCCGACGCCGTCGCGGCCCAAACCTTTTCCCATCAGAGGGCCAGATCGGCTTGCTGGAGACCAGCGCCGACGCCAGCACCAACGCCAGCACCGACGCCACGCCGCCACAGGCAATGCAGATGGATGCTGGACCACCCCTTGAGCACACGAAAAAGGCGTTCGGCACATACAGAGTCGCACACGTGACGATGAAGCTAGATGAGCTGCCAGTTGGCTACAAGAGGCGCGACGTCGTCTGGATCCCACTCGTGATCGACACTAGCAGCAAGGACGTCGACGACAGCAAAAAGGGCGACGTCGACGTCGACAGTCTACTGCAGCAGCTCGCCGACGGAGAACCACAAGAGAAGAGGCCGAAACTTGCACCGCACCTGGATCCGAATGTGTTCACGCAGATCGAGATCACCAGCGACGACGACGAGGGCGACGTGAACAGCAGTGGTTGCCAGGCAGAGTCGGGGGTCCAGCAGTTGGGCTCGGCAGTTGGCGACGACAGAAAGATGCCCAAGAAAGCGGTGCGGCCCCAGGCGCTCAACCAGAATCAGAGCTTCCGCATCCTCGGGCAGGAGCTGAGCCTGGTGTGGGAGTCGGCCAGGCAGAAGGAGGCAGCAGAGAAGGCCACCGCGACCGCCGTTCGCTCGCCCTGGCACGGGCTCCGAGCGGCCGCGGAGGCAGGCGCCCCGGCGGCGGCCAGTGCAGCGGCCGACTGCGACCAGGGCGGCGGCTCCAAGGACGGCGACGACGGCGACGGCCCCGACGGCGCGAAGCACCACTCCGACAAGGGCGGTACTCCGAGGCCGAAGCTGCACTCCAAGGCCAAGCCTGACGGTGAGGCGCCCTCCGACAAGGCGGAGCAGCAGCGGCAGAAGGGCGGCGGCACGCTCCAGAACAAGAAGATCACCGAGCAGCACTTGGAGACGCAGCGCTACGACGAGAAGCCGCCGCCCGTGTTCGACACGCTGAAGGAGTTTGGCGCGGAGCACAGCGGCGGCAGCAACCCTCACCCGTACGGCATGGGCGGCGAGTCGCAGGCGCCGTTGGACGTCGATGATGTCCTCGAGGGCGACTCGCTCAAGCTCTAGTTCACCAGTCTGTGCAGCACGAGCTCGAGCTACGCGGCGGGAAGGCTCAGCGATCAGAGATTCGCGAGCCTGAGCCCGCAGACCAGGTTTCAAGTCGCATGTGTTTCTCGTGCGCTCCAGCTCGATGCAGCAGATGATACGAGCATGGAGCGGTCACGTTTGGTGATCGCACATCGTGTGCTCGTGTCGAAGGTTGGTGAAACACGATGTGTTGTCCTTGCCACCTCATCCCCACCCCATCCTCCCAATCGGGCTTTGCCATGTCAAGATGCCTCTCGGCACTCCGACTCCGCCCATGTCTCGGTCGGCCCGTGCAGGCACCAAGAGGGCCGCGAATGGGCCTCGAAAGCCACTAGTGGGGGGGGGCGCCTAACGGGGCTCCACTGTCTCCAGGGACTTCGGGGTTCGGGGTGTCTTGGCCGTTTGCTCTCGGGACTCGGGATTCCTGGCGCCGAGGGTCTAGGGTGCCTCAGGGATCAGATTGTGTGGGGTACTTGGGCTTCGGGGCTCCAGGGTCCCAGGGCTTCCAATGCCAATGGGATTCGGGGCGTCTGGCGCCGCTGGCTCTCGGGATTCTAGGCGTTCAGGGCCTTCAAGGGCTTGGGGGTCATGCTGTGTGGAACCCCTGACCCCTGGGCCTCGGGGTTCCAGTGGCTCAGGGCTTCCAACGCCCATGGGGCCCAGGGTGTCCGGGGCCGTTGGCTCTCGGGGCTCCAGGCGCTCAGAGTCTCCAAGGGCCTAGGGCCTAGGGGCCACGGGCCTAGGGGGTCTCGGGGGTCCCTTGGCTTAGGGCGCCCTATGCCCATGGGGTGCATGGTGTCTGGGGCCGCGAGCCGCGGGTGCCCCACGGTGTCAGGGCCCTCTGCGGCCAATGGGTTCATGGTGTCTGGGGCCGCGCGCTCGCGAACCCCGTGGTCCAGTGCCTCCCCCCCGTAGCAGGGGAGGCCATTGCCGCGTCAACGCTGCGGCTGGCGGGCGCAACCTATGGCGCAAACAACGGGCGCGACCGACGCCGCCAGGAAACTCACGCCCTCCGTTTGCCCTGTCTCTTAGAAGCTGCGGCCGTGCATGTGCGAGCACTGTCGGGGAATGCGTGGCGCGGTGTGCTATGGTGCTAGACAAAGGTTAGCTTGGTCATGCACTGCGGCGCTGATTGATGGTATGCCGTGCAACGTTGAATGCCAATGCAATGCAACGACAACCATGATGTGCTACGGCTATGCAATGCCGTGCGGTCACACCGTAACTAGCCATTTTGGCCCTTCGGATTCGGCTCGCCCCCCGCTCGAGAGCGCAACGGCTCCAGGGCGGCTCCGAGGACGTGTGCATGGAGTGGGATGGCGCTGGCCCTGGCCTCCTCGGGCCTGGCGGCGATCCTGTCGCGGGTGGGCCTGGGCGGGGCGTTGGCGCGCCCGCGCCTGGGCGAGGAGATCCAGGTCGAGGCCGCGGCCGCGGCCGAGCTGGCGCTGGGCGCGGTGGCCGCGCAGCTGGGCGCGCCAGAGGCGGGCGTGTCGCGAGGCGGCCAGCGGCGGCGGCCGCTGGCGAGGGGCCAGCCGACGAGCCTCAGCAGAAGAGGTTGAGGGTGCCAGTGCTGGAGGATTATGGTGCTGATACTGTTCGCCGCCTCTTGCAGGGCGATGTGTTCCCAGGCGCGCCGAGCCCGCTATTGCCCCTGTTCGAATCGTGGCTGTGTGCGTCTCGCAAGGGCGAGTGTCAGATTGACGGCAACACCATGCGGCTATTGAATAGCCGTCTGAATCCTGAGTGCTCAACTGCTGTCATGTCCCTTGCCCACCTGGAGGACAAATTCGGCACAGAACGCCACGAGATCAAAAATCGGATGATGGACGCTGCATCCATTGCCATACTCTCCAATCGAGCGGAGCGCCGAGCCTTGGAGCTCGCACTTACCAGCAGTGATGTGCCAGGCGACCCCGTGCAGATACAACCGATGCACTACGCCGAGTTCCTCACGTACGACGAGTCGCCGCACACGCTGAAGTTTGTTGATTTCATTCGCGGTGGAGGTCGGCACCGCATGCTGGAGTCAATCGCGTTGGCGCTGCCTGATGCCGTGCAGGGCGACGCGCTTGTCGGACAGCTGCCATCACAGCTTGCTGCTATGAGTGCGTCCGAGGTTGGCCCGATGAAGCTGCTCCAGATCAGGACAGAGTTTTCGATGCTGCTGCGCGTTATCGACCACAGGCGGGGCGGGGCCGTTTCATGGTGCATGCTGTCGGGGGAGCAGCCCAACCACCTGCAAGCGATCGACCGCTGCACTGCCGAGAACTGCAGGCAATGTCTGCATAACGTGTTTGGTGGGTCCCTTCGTTCGAGAGGGTTCGAGCAGCGCTTTCGGGGCACATGTCTGGATAGGGCCCCCGTCAACGCGAAGACAGAGCGCGGCGTTCGCATCATGGACGCCCCCGACGACCAGCACTTGAATTCGTGACGCTTCGCGTATCCCCACCAGCCCATTTAGAAACGACGCCCAGGCCCATGCGAGGTGAGGTTATCATGGAGTGCATCTTGGGCTATCTGGAGCCCTCCTGGAGCCATCGAGGGCCACATTGGACGCTCTATCTACTCGCAACGCCCCCCCCCCCCCCGTCCAGGTCCAGGGGTCGGGGGGTCGGGGGAGGGGCAATCCCCTCCCCGAAGGGGAAGAACGGTGGGTTGGAAGAAACGCAGCCTGTACGCCCAGAGGGCGGTGTGGATTTAGATTGCAGCGCCCACGTTGCCATGACTATCAAAACGCATTTGTTTGCCACGCTGAAGCCCACCATCGTGGGCATGAAGCGTGCGGCTGTGTCATTGAGAGTGCTGGGGTCCATGACTTCTTTCAGGCGGATGTTCAAGACCGTGGTCCGACCGCTGATCGAACCTGTCTTTGGAGAGTGTCCTGCGGATGCGGCTCTGTACCGCATGAGGTGCATCAGGCTGTTCACCACCAGCCCGCAGAACTCTGTCCCGAAGCTCGTTGCGAGGCACATGTTTCCGAATGGCGACTGGCGGCGGCGAGATATAATACCGATTTACCTTGCTGGCGAGGAGGCCGACTACACGCCTGCCCAGATTGATTCGCATAAGACACTCGTCGTGGAGGGCCTGTGTTACGCCTTTTGCAGCCGTGCCCCTGACAACTTTGCTGAGCACCATTGGACTGGCCACACGGAGTGCACGTGCGCCTTCGGGATGTTGGAGGTTTGCAATGGCATACTTGCCCACGCGTACCCTGCCTGGGCGCGCAGCAAGGGGACGCGGCCTCGCAGGCCTGTCGCCGCGGCTGGCGAAGTCGCCGCGGCCGCGGCGCCAGTGCCAGGTGGCGGAGCAGCGGTTGTCCCATTTGTCGCCCCCGAGGTTGGGCCCGCTGCCCGCGACGGCGGGCGGAGCCCGATCGATGCGGCGGAGGAGCAGAATTCTGCAGACAGGCGCATCGCCTGCGACTGGATTCTGTCTGACCCGCTGTTCGACTTACTGCTCATGAGAATGGCCCTCACAGTCTTGGCGCCGCTGGACCACGTTGGTCTCACGATGTCAGGCGAAGCTTGGGAGCGTGAGCGGCGGCACAAGGTCGCTGCGGCGCTGTCTGCGGGGCAGTCGATGGCGGCGGCAATGGCGGGCAGGCAGTATCGGATCAGCGTTGCCGCCGAGGGTGCCGCAGAGATGAGTGCCTTCAGAAAGCTACGCTACCTGTACGATGAGGATGAGTTTTGGACGATCGTGCCGATCAAGTACTTCGACGATGCCAACGTGACCAAGGTGTTTAGGTTGTTCAGCCGCCTTGGTGCCCTGATCGAGGAGCTGTGGGCCGCTCCCAACCGTTCCAAGGACGTCCAGTTGTTCAGGCTGGTGCATGACCCTAGTCGACTCGCCCAAGTTCGAGCTGGCCGAGTCCGAGACTATTGCTTGTACGGGGCCTTCGGCAGGAAGTTCTTGGAGGATAACTTGGACTGTGGCGACCAGTCCGAGATTATTGTGAGACTAGCGTTTCTAGCATCGTGCATTCGTACGTCGATGGCTCCAGTGGAGGCTGGCTGGGCGTTCGTCCGTCGATTATGCAAGAAGCTCGGCTGCCAGACACATCAACAAGAGCTTGGCTACATATCCGCTCAATGGGTGTTAAGTCGATTCCGAGCGATGCTGGAGCACGATCACACGTTGGCTGAGAAGTTCGTGCTCCCTGAGAACCTTCGCATCCAGTGCGACGCTGCCGACGACCCTGGTGAAGATGGTGACGCATCGCCGTCGGCTGCTGGCTGGAGCGGGCCTTGGAGGGCTTTCGTCGCCGAGAGCGACATCGGCCTGTTCCGCGATTTCGGCAGCTTGGGGGAGAGGTACAGGGACGTCAAAGCGAACGACCCCGTTCGCTTTGCACAATTGCAGGCTGCTGGGGCGCAGGGCGCGGAGAGGCGCCGCGCTGGCGAGCGCCCGTTCGGGCCCATCAGGAGGGACGTTGTCAGGGCCGCTCATAGAGAGCAGCAGCAGGCTCGCTGCCAACGTATCAGTGACATGATATCGAACCCGATGGGTGGGGGCATGGGGGACGACGACGAGGTAGACCAGAAGACGAGCCTGGCCGAGGCGATCGTCGAGGGGGGCGCTACCTTGGATACCTCCCTGCAATCGGCTCGGGCAGACGCGAAGTGGTTCGGCAAGTTGAAGGCTGCGGAGCATAGACAGCTCACATCGGATCTGCTGGATTACAGTTCTCGGAACTCGCGCGACCTGGTGCAGAACGTGTTTGGGACGTCTCCTCTGATGGCCCCATTGCTGCACCAACTGGGCGCGGTGCCTGTGCCCATGGAGAGGTTTTCGCACTTGACTTTCCAGAGTGCGGCAGCCGTGCGGACCACTTGCGTGACTGCTTTGGTCGCCGTGGGTCGCTGCCCCAGCGGGCGCGCGGCGCGGCCTCTGCTCGGCGCTGATTGGGGCAGGAAGCACACCATGCAGATGCATGCAGCGGCCGAGCCGATCAGGAAGGAGACTGCTGCAGAGAGAAACCAGTGGCGTTGCGCCAAGGCAGGCGTCCATTTGTGCGGCGCCAAGGGCAAAGACACCTACTCCTTCCGCAACTCGGTGCTGCGGATGCTGAAGGTGCGATGTCCCAAGGACAGTGCCGCTCGCCAGAAGCTGATTGCTGGCAGCCTCGTCCTGTGCGTCGCGCGGATGCGACGAGAACCTGACGACCACAACGTGCCGCTCGACTTCGAGGCAGCTGAGGTGGTGTGCTCGTGGTACCATCTTGCTGTCCACTACTTGTCGCCATTCCGACCCACGCTGCAAACCATGCTCCGCCAAGATTGGGATGGCCCAGTCGTGAACTTGAAGGATGCGGGTGTACAATATTGTTACCAGTGCGGGTTTTGAGTTTCCAGATTTCGTCACGGTTGTGTTGGGGGCCCTCGGGGCCTCGAGCGTCCGCTGAGAAACGCGCGAGGGTTGTGCCCAAAGTCATGGTCTCCAACGCAGCCGTGGGGTCCAGCAGCGTGCTCCTGGGGGCCCATTGGCAACGGTCTGCGTGAGGGGCGTGCTTGATGAAGGAGGCCCCGTGGGGCTCCGTTGGGGATCCACTTCGAGGCCCATGTGGGGCCATGGAGCGCCAGGCGTGTGAGGCGCACGCCGAACTTAGGCGCCGTCGGGGGTTTCTGAGGGGCCCCGTGGAGCTTGGCAACGCGTACTTGCAAGCGTCTGCTTTTCATTGGTGCTTTCGTGTTCGGGTGCAGTCGCCCCCTGAGGCGCCTCGGGGGTTCGTTCGCGGGTAGGCGCGTGCCCCGAGGCGCCATCAAGGGCGACTGCGCCCCGATGGGAAAGCGCCCAAGTGTGTCCCCCGCTACCCCCCCTCCCCGCAGGCCGCGCTGGAGTGGCAGACCCTCTACCGCATGGCCGACGGGGCGGAGCTGCCGAACCAGGGTGTCCTGATCGGCGCCTTGTTCGAGCTTCGGGAGGGCGCACGGCGCCGCGGGCTCTTCGCCCCGCGCGCGGTCTCTGCGACAGTGCATCTGGCTGCGGGGAGTGGGAGGCAGACGTGGTTTCGGCTTTGGCCTCCCCAGCGCGCTGGCGCAGGAGGTGGCGCCGACGAGGACTCAGAAGGCCACGAGTCAGGTGGCGAGGACGAGGCCCCCTCACTTAGAAAATGCGGTTGCCAGATATGTTTGGACACCCCTGCAAGAGCATGATTTTACGATTGACAGGGCACGTAACGGCCGCATGGGGGATGCGGTTGGATGGCCGCGGGGAGGGGCGAGGATGATGACGAGGAGGGGGGCAGGCCGGATGAGGATACGGGGGCGGCGAGGAGGAGGTATAGGATGATGAGGGCTCCTGCGGGCATGGTTGGGGCCTCCTGGGGGCTTCCTGGACATGGGTGCCCACTCGGAGCAGCCTGGTGCGGTCAATGGGCATCGTGGGCCGTCCTGGGGCCGCCATGGGCCGTCGCTGGTTTCCCGACAGTGTCTTGAAAGCAATTCGAGGCCCATCGGGTTTTGATTTCCTCTGGCTCCTAGACGGCCAAACCTGCATTCGATCGCTTCACGTCGGCCCGAGCGTCCCCCCCCCTCCCCCAAAAGAGCACCCATGAGGCGCGTGAGGGCAGCGCGGCTGCCCAGGAGTGGACACCCAGAACGACCAACGGGTGCCCAAAGAGGGCATATGGGCCCCAGGCGGGCGGGAGGGGATGGGGGCACGAATTCGCATGTCGATCTAGCCACCCCAATGGCCCTCAAGGCCGCCATCTATCCTCCAAGAGGCCCTATACAACGCCCAATGGTCTCGGATAAGCTTTTCGGAGGCGCAATGGGGGTCCCACCTACGCACCCGCTATGCCACGGGGTGGGCTTCTAAAGTTGGCCCCGAGCAGCGTCGGGATGCGTGCAACGACACCTTCCCCGTATACTAATCTGGCTCTGGGTATTAGTGTAACGCCTTCGCGTCATCATCCTAGCGCACCGCATCCCCCCCCCCTCTCACTCTGGCAACTCACCCCACCGTTTTGCGTTCGCTCGACAGGGGCACGAGAGCGACGAGCACCTTCCATCCGACAGTGATGGTGATGGCGGCCCCCCTGCCGCCCCTGGCCCGCACGTCGGGCATGGAGGGCACGGGCACTCCGACGTGAGGTTCCATATTGTGATCCGTGGTGGCGGGCGCTTTCGATACTATCGGCGGCCCGATGGAGACTCCATTGTAGAATGCGTGTGTTCGAACCCCTTGCATGGGAAGTGCGTGAAGACCCTTCGAATGACTCAGGCTGCGAATCCACATCTTTATCCAGGCATGGGGAGGCCAATGGGGTTCGGCCATGCGTGGCTCGTGCACAATACCCAGGACTCCCACCACGCCCACATGATGTACCATCCAAGCTTAGGTGAGAGGTCGGTTGCTCGAGTTGCTGGTCGGGCCGAGTACGGCGGCGACTGGCGGCGTTTCGAGGAGGCTGAGCGCGAGAGGAGGGATGGCGAGGGTTCTGAGCCTGAAGGTGACCCCTCTGTTTACTGATGGGCTTGGTGGCCTGGTGAGACTGCAATTGAGCGTGCGACATGTTCGCCGTGTATCTCCCTCCTCCCAAGTTTTGCCTATCCGCCAGTTGTTTGCAGAAGTTGACGGCTCTGAGCCGATCGCTGTGCAGTCTCTGCGTCTGCGCGTTGAATTTCGGATTGGCCAGTGCAGTTCAGCGATTTGTTGTCCCCAGGCCAACGCCCCCCTGCAAGTGCGTGATATAGTCGATTGGGGTCGTGCCGCAGACAATTCATACACAAGTAATGCTATGACATGGTTCGCTAATGCTGTGTGATGTCGTGCAAATGGTATGCTAAACTATGCACTGCTACGACAGGCTATGCCACGTGTAGGTTTCCAATGGTTTGAAGCTCAACGATGCTCAATGTTGTGCTGTGTCGTGCCTTGCAGTGATATGCTACGCCCTGACATCCATGCCGTGCCCGCTTATTCGGGGCGCATGGGTCGCCTTCTGCGCGCGCGTCCCCATCCGAAAGCCACCGTTGTTTGTCATTCCGTGCGGGCCAAGTGTGCGAGTCCCCCGCCATGCGGCCCGCATTGCTCAGCCCATGGATGGGGCGGTGGTGGTGGCCGTTTGGGGCGGCCGCCGCCAGTGGCGCACCGCCCGCTAGTTATTCAGGTGGCTCGCGCCATTCCGCTGCCCGCCAGGGGAGGGTGAGTGATACCGCGGCGACGGGGCTTGCCAACTAAACGCCCGCCCGCGTTTATTCACGCGCCCTTAACCACGTGTCCCCCGCAAAGCCGTACTATCGCGGCCCAGCTCATGATTGCGCACTGGGGGCAGTTGCGTCGCTCGCGCTTTGCATCCGCATGGCGTTCCCCAACCAATGCTTGCACCCGACGTGTCTAAGTCAAACGGCTTACGCCGTTCCGCCGACCCTAAAGAGTCAGACGCATCGATACTGATAGTTATAGAATGGCCATTGGCCCAAACCGCCACCGTGCCTGGGCTGTTGACCAGGGGCCCCATGGATGAGTATGATGGTCTCTCGGGGTGCCTCTCAGGGGCTTCTGGGAGGGCCCTTGGGTGCATATGGGATGTTGTTGTTGCCTCTTGGGGGTTTCCTGGGGGCGTCTTGGAAACTTATTGCGGCCTCTCGGGCCCACCTCGGGGAGGGGAGGTGGGCTAGGGGGTTCTGGGGGCCGCCATGGGGAGACGTGCTCGACATGCCAGTTCGGGCTCCCCTTCTTGCTCTCGCGGGGCCATAGTGGGGCGATGTTGGGCCGCTTTGGGGGCACATCGTCATTACAACACATAGCGTACACATCGCAACATGCATTACGTGGCATGTACATGACATGTAAGCGCTTGCCGTTCGACCCCCTCGATGGCTAACATGTGCTTACATGTGCGTTTATGGTGTAGTGGTTTGGCTCTGATGTTGCTCTCACACACAAATGAAACGAGTTGTTGTGTTCTTTGTTTCGGGCTGTGCGCGGTATTTGGGCTACGTGTTCGTAAACTATGCGTGCATGTACATCTACATGAAAATGTGCATATCAAATCTACAGTGTCTTGAATGATGCAGTGGGCCTGTAGGTAACAGAAGACGCGTGCCAACACTGGTCAACCATTTATGTGTTTCACATGAACAATATTCATACGATCCTCCACCCCTCTCTCCTCTTTCCCTCACACCGCAGCCGCAATCAAGCTCAAGCTGCGCCGCGAGCCTCCGCGCGCATTGGGTCGGGCGCCAACGGCGGGCGCCATGTTCAAAACCGCGTCTGTTGATTTCCGCTTTTGTTGATTATGCAGGAGGTCCCACCTTCGAGCTCAATCGCACCTCGGGTGGGTAGAGGGTTGGCAGGGGGCTGTGGATCGCGATCGGGGGCGACGCGCTCCGCGAATTCCATGCTCGGGGCCGCGCGCGACATCGGTTTCAACAGTCCTGTGGCGTTGGGTCACCGTTTTGAAGGGAGCGCCCCGCATCTCATCCTTCGCTCTCCACGTATTCCTTGCCATCCTCCTCCTTCTTTATGTCATCCTCCCGCGATCCTTTACTCAGCCCACCGCGTGCCCACCATGTCGGCGCACCTCTCCCACTGGCTTAATGGCGCCATAAGGAGCTCCGCCGAAGGCCGCAATGGCAGGGCCCGCCTGCCGCCTACCACTCATTTCGGCATGCCCTTCACATGTTTCGTGGCCCCATATGGAGTTTCGCTGAATGCCCAAGTGGCAGGGCCTGCGTGTCGCCCACCATTAGTTTCGGCGCGCCCCTCGCGCGTTTCGTGGTCCCGTAGAGAGCTCCACCGAGGGCGCCGTTGGCAGGGCCTGCGTGCTGCCCACCACCCATGTCTGCGCGCCCCTTGCATGATTCGTGGCCCATTCGGAGCTTCCACCGAAGGACCTCATGGCAGGGCCTGCGTGCCGCCCCCTAGGCGGTGTTGTAGCCCCTCCAGGGGCAGTGTCCCAGCCCCCCCCACCCGAATTTCACCCCCCCAGGGGCAATGTCCCGACACCCCACCCCCGAATTTTTCACCCCCAGGGGCAACGTCCCGACACCCCCCCCCCCCGAATTTTTCACCCCCAGGGGCAACGTCCCGACATGGGGTCCCGGAATTTTTCGCGCCCAGAGCAATGTTTTTTTTCCGACACCGGAATTTTTCACCAGGGGGGGCAATTTTAGAGGTACTTTTGGAGTGCCCATTTTGGGGCAAAATTCGCGCTCCCCGACCAAAAAAATAGCAAAAAACACAGGGTTTTGGCAAAAAAACACCGGATTTTTTCACAAATTTAGGGCTCGGGAGTGCAATTTTCTATGACCTCTAAAATAGCTCCAGGATCTGCGCGCCGACCAATGCCCCGGGACCCCCCACCGGAGTTTTTGCCCCCCCAGGGGCAACGTCCCGACACCCCCACCCCGAAGCGCAGCCCCCCAGGGGCAACGTCCCAACACCCCCCTCCCGAAGCACAGCCCCCCAGGAGCAATGTCCCAACACCACCCTTCTGAATTTTGCCCCTCCAGGACCAATCCCCCGACATGGGGTCTCTGAGTTTTGACCCCCCCAGAGCTATTTTGGAGGTGTCTCTCCCGCGGGGCGCTCTCTTCGCTGCCATGAAGCGCCCCCGCAGGGGGCCCTGGGGGGCCCTGCGTGGGCGCTCGCACTGCTGCGCCATGCGGGCGCGTTGCCACTGGGGACTGGGTGGGTCCTTCTGTGGGGCTCTTCATAGGGCCACGAAGCGTGTGCGGGGTGTGCCGACATGGGTGGTGGGCGGCATGCAGGCCCTGCCACTGGGGCCTTCGGGTGGTTCCATATGTGGCCACAAAACGTGTGAGGGGTGTACCGAGATGAGTGGCGGGCAGCGGGCAGGCTCTGCCATTGGGCATTCGGTGGGGCTCCCTACAGCGCGACGAAACGTGTGAGAGGGGTCCGACATGGGTCGTAGGCGGCACGCGGGCCCGCCGCTGGGGCGTTCGGTGGAGCCC